GACGTCCCCAGTGGAGATGAGCTCTGGCCCATGCTACGCGGGCGATTCTGTTCTTCTTGCTGATCGATGGTTTCTTAGCTGGCCGTCGTCCATGGAGTCCAGCATCTTGAAGACGTCTTCTGACGGTTCTCAGGGATGGTGTGACTTCATTTGGAGTCTTCACGACCATCTGAATGTCCGTAGAACTCCTCTGGGGATCCTCTCTTGAAGCTCGGACGATGTTCCGATCCATGTTCTTCGACGTGATACGCGGTCTTCCAGGCGATTTTCGCTCCACCAAGGCTCCCTAAACATTTTTTTTCCATAACTATACTATTTTTGAATATTACCTCATCCCGAAACTGCTTCAAGATCTTCTCGATGGCACGTTTAGTAACATTGAACTGCTGCGCCAAGAGGTCCTTGGAACATCCACTTCTGAAGCCGATGACGATGGCTTTACGGATGTCCTGAGAGATGTTTTTTTTTTCCGAGGGGTCTGGCCATGTCTGTAAACAGTTTTAAATACATAGGAGCCGAAACCAACATTCTTAGAAACCATAATATCCAAAAATATAAAAATATGAAAAAAGTGAAAAAACGAAAAAATTGAAAAAATTGAAAAAAACAAAAAATTTCTGAAAATGATGCAATTTCCTTGTACGCAATTTGTCGTCACCGTGTACGACATGCACAGTAAAATTTTCAGATCGATCCCTTAAGTTTCAGCAAAGTTACTCTCAAAAAATCGTTTGCGAATACCTTTTTGGCCAGTACTGTATGTGCGTTTTCGTTTTTTTTCTGTTTTCATGCGGCGACATCCTAGAAAGGCCGAATAACGAGAAAAAGTCGGGAATTAGTGCCAAACAGTGAAGAAATCTAGTGTATTCTAAAAAAAAATAAATGCTCGTCAAGTAGCGCGCATTGGTCGCAATCGCAAATTTTCCGTCAGAATACATGATCTCGCCCCGAGAAAACCCCGTAGACTTTCGTGTCTGGTCTCCTTTAAAATGAATGAGGAATTTTGACGAAGCAACTTTTGAAGAACAATTGATAAATGAAATAAGTTTGTAATTACACAAATAAATTCTAAATAATTATTAATTGATATGATAATTATCTCTAGTTGATTTGATTTCAAGTCTTCGGTAGTTAAGAAAAAATCGAAATCTTCATAATTAGAATTGTTATCCATTTTTTTTACCTGGAAAAATTTTGAGAATTTAGCTGAAATGTTTACAAAAACTGTCAATAAACTTTGATCATTTTGAAAAAGCGTACAATTTGAATTTGTCATTTCTTTGGTTTCTGGGCTTTCAAAATTAGAGAAAAATTCAAAATATAGATCATAATTTATTTTAGAAGAACACTCAATTAGAGTAGTTTGACCAGTTTGCAGGTTCTCTGAAAATGCTTAAAATACTGTATCTCGACTAGAACGTATATTAAAAAATTCAAGCAGCTGACTGGTGCGTCTTCGGCGCTATTTAACCTAGTGCAACAGACATCTCTAGCGTTTTATATATATGGAAGATAATGTCTGAAAACTTATCGAGTATACAAAACAACAATAAATCTTCATCTTTGTTGTTTACAACGTTTTTAAAGGTGGGGGGGGGGGGACATGAAAAAAATAATGTTCTCGAAATTCCGTTCAAAGATGCCCCTCGAGGAGTTGAACTTGTGAGGGCGATGATTGAGGGTGCGGCGCCGCTACCGACTGAGCCACGCGGGCAAAGAGAAAGCGCACGCCCGATTGCATACATAAAGGCGAGGACGAGAGCTGTACACAGAGTGACATTAAACGTTGTACACCGTCACGGTAGAATGCATACTCTAGCTACAAAAAAAACAACGAAAAATCTCCTGTCCCCCCACCTTTAATGAAAAATCGCTTTTCGCAAATTTTGAAATTTCTGGAATCTTTGATAATTTCAAATAATTTTCCTATTTCTTTCTATTTCCAAGGGATCAATGATCTGAGTGTGTTTCGTGTACACAAACAAGTATTCTCCTCCATTTTCATTCGAAAATGTCTCCCTTTTTTCTCTGTCTTCTCCTTTTTTCTATCCCTTTCGTCTCTTTTTTCTGACCATTTGGCAAGGTGATTTTCATTCATATACTTTTTTTTAAATTTTTTTTCAAATTCCAATTGAAAAAACTACATTTTCAGCTAGAAAAATGGCCGATTACGTTCAACCAACACTTTTAGATATGCCTGAAATTGTAATGAACCATATTTTCAGCTACTTGGATGTGAAATCAATGTGAGCTTTTTTTTTTGGAATATTTTTTCTCAATTTTTCAGAAAAATCTTACTTGTTTTGAAAAAGCCCAAAAATGGAAAGTTTAAAAAATTCAAAATTCCACAAAAAAAGCAAAATTTCAAACATTTCGAAAATATTCTGTATTTCCAGAAAATTTCAAAAAACAAGCAGGTCGGAAACACACGAAATCAAAAAAAAAGAGATCAAATAAATTCTGAAACTCCAGAAAATTCCGAATTTTTTTTTGAAAATTCAATTTTAAAAAATCGAAAATTCAAAATTTCGAAAATTTCAGAATTTTGAAATGAAAGTCGAAGTTTAAAAAAATCAAAATATCGGAAACTCGAGACGTTAATAATTGTAAATTTCAGATTCAAAATGCAAAAAGTTTGTCTCCAACTCCATAATTTCGTCGATGAGCAAAAACCAGACATCCATCTGACTTCTATGGAACTCAAAGCGACAACCTATGGATTCACATGTCGAATTTCTTCAGAACTTTTTGGAAATTTTCGAATCAAGTACCTAAAAACTGCAATGGCATGTCCACGGATGAGAAAAAATGGGATTTTATTAGAGCACGATTATCCGATGCCTGTATTTTTTGAGGATATCGCAAGACTTTTGGATTTTCAAAAATCACCACTTCAGGAACTGGAATTGGTGCTGAAATACAAAAAATATGACTTAGAGTATGGACATATGCTTGAATTTTTGAAAAATCGGTTGAAAAATCGACCTAAAAAATTAAGAACGCGGTGGTTATGGATGTCTGCATTGGATCAAAGCCACGTCATGCAGATTCTGCCGAATATCGATTTTTGTGGGATTGGAAGGATTACAGTATCGGATGCTGTTGTCGATTACGATAGGGACAAAGATCAGAAGATGGAAATTAATGAGATTTTGGAAATGAAAGAATTCAATGAATTTGAAAAATTGAATATCTCGAAGTTTTCGGTGGATTCTGAAGATTATGAAGAAAATGTGGTGGAAAAGTTTTTGGAGATTCCAGAAGTCTATTTGAAATTGAAAAAAATTACAATTGAAGACTTGGAGATGATTAGAAATGTAAGTCTTAGCACAAGGATTTCAGAAATGTTGGGTTTCGAATTTTCAAAGAGTCTCAAAATTCTGCAAATCTGAAATTCAAAGTTTCTGAAACTCAGAAACTCTGAACAATGCAGAAATATAAAGTTCAGACACTCTAAAACTTAGAAATTCGAAAATTCAAAACTACTAAAGTCCAGAATTTAGGATTTCTTTTCAATTTTAAAGTGTTTTTTTTTCAGAACTACCTGGATCCCAAATCCTTAAAAAATTCGCAATCAATCTTTGAATTGAAATTCAAAGAATTCGAAGACTTCTCTCAATTTCGAACATCTCTGGTAGACCCATTTTCTCATTATTATGGCGAGAGATGGTTTTTCAAAAATTCAGGCTCCGGAAGTATTTTATGTATGCAATATGAGGATAATTGTTTTACATTTAGCTTAGAAGTAGAAGAAGATCTTCCAGAAGGAGTGATAATTCAGGAAACTTGATTTTCAAAAAATAATAAAATATATTGTTTTATTAAAATTCAAAGTTTTTCAAAATAAATCACAAAGCAAAAACACCGCACTTTTCCCATGTATCCGGATACAGATTGCTCATTTCTTCGGCATACCGTAATCTTGCAGTTCTTCTTGCATATATATTTTGATGGTCCGCAACAGCTTTTGAATATTTGGTGTCTTCGGTTTTGATTCCCTCATGGACATCAAAAACATGAGATAATAAATGGAATGTGTAGTTTGCACGGCAGAGTTTGTAGATCTGAAAAAAACTCAATAATTTTTAGCCTTATATCCACTTTGACCCCGTATCATAGAATTAGAAATATTTCATCAGTTGACAGTTTTCTAATATCTTTCACAGAACTTGAGGGTCAAAGATAATTGTCTTACCAATGATTGCACATTTTTAATCCTTGACGGAAAATAATCTGCATTATAAGGATCATTTTTGTGAAGAATTGGCTGAGGTTCCCAGTCGACGTTTCTGAAAAAAAATATTTTAGATTTTCTCTACTTTTTTTCATTTTCAAATCTTACGAATACGGTATTTGCCAAGAAATGATTTCTGGGGATTTGGAAGAAGTTTCCAGCCAAAATGGAAGATTTTCGATTTGATGGCCAAAGAAAAAGCATTTGTGATGGAATTCGAAGGTTCTGGAAAAGCTTGGAAATTTTCAGGAAAAGTTAGGAATTACAGGAAATTCAAAAGTTCAGGAAATCAAAAGTTCAGAAATCCAGAAAGCCAGAGATTTCGAAAAAGCCACATACTACAATTTTTCCCGTTTCCTATAGTCAATTGCTGTCTCCTGGGTCATTACTGCTAATCAAATGGGTTGGGGAGGTACAGTAACCCAAATCTACAAAAATCATCAAAGAACTAAAGTAATCCTTCTTTCATGACCAATCAATAATTTCATGTTCCATCCGATATGGCAGCCATTGGGCGAAAGTTCAAAAATTCGAAAATTCAGAAATTCAGCAGCCCAAAATTGATTTTGCAAAATTCAAAAATGTTGTACGGCATTTCAGGAAAATCAGAATTTTGAAAATCCCAAAAATTATCCAAAAACTCACTGATTCCTCCTTATCGACTCTTCTAATTTCTCAAAACTTCTCGGGATTACTGTACCATTCGCATTCTCAAATCTCCTTACTAAAAGCACATTTTTCGACTTTCCATCAATCATTTTATTGGCAATTTTCTTAATTTTCAGAGCCATTCCTTCACTAATTATCATATCTCCATCCATTATAAAATGTATGTCAGATTTGGCTCCCCATCTTGCGACATTTCTCATCAAACTACACGGATACAGTACGAATGGAGCTGATATTTCAGCGCGCAGTGTTTCTTCTGCAATTTTTTATTATTTTGGGATTTCAAAAATCGAATTACGGTTTTTCAAAAAGTAATCACATGAAATTTTGGATTTTGGAATAAAAACTGTTGGACAATCAGTTTGAAAAGCAGATATTCGATAGGCAAAATGAATGGACATCTGGAAATGTCGATTTACAGATGGACAATTAAAAATATTGCACACCTTCCGTCCGAATTCCGGTACACATTTATATAAATTTTCCAAATATTCCAGAGCATTTGAAGTTTGAATATCTAAAAATATTCCAACTGAAATTGGTCCATCCCATAGATTTGGCATATTTTCTAAAGTTTTCAGCATATCTGATGTGGCATGAGTGGATAGAGTGATTGGTTCCAGACCATCCGATTCTCGGAATCTGGAAATCTGGAGTTACAGACACACAGATGGGAAATTTCTGAATTTTTAGATTCTTAAACGTTTTAGGTGTCCGAATTGTTTTTGATATTCGGAATTTCTGAATTTTCAAATTTCCCAAAACTTACGAATCTTTGGCTTCCACGAAATTCAATCCAATACAATATTGCTCATCATATAAATTTGTCGGGATTACTGTATATTCTCGGAATATTTGAAATAGCGACGACGTCGAGTTTTCAGGATTCTGAATTGTGAAATTTTCGTGATTGTGAGGTTTTTGATAGTTTTCAGAAAGATTTGGATTCTGAAATATTTTCCATTCCTTTCAAAAATCTGAAAATTTCAAAACTCACCGCCAAAATTAAGAACAAAACTAGAAAAAATATGACAAAAATTATAAAAATCTGATGGGATAATCGAAATTGTCTGGTCATTTTGAATCCGAAGAAAGATTTTCGAATTCATTTATATACAATTTTTTTCTGAAAAATCCAAAAATGCCGATCCATTTTTTCGATTTCTCTATTTTTTTCAATTCGGTAGACTTCATTTCGGAAATTTTGATTTTTCTTTTTTTCTTGGATAATTTCCGTAGATCAGATAACAAATTTCCATTGCAGGGGAAACGAGAATTGGTAATCAAAAAAATTCATAAAATCTGAGATTCTGAGATTCTGAGATTCTGAGATTCTGAGATTCTGAGATTCTGAGATTCTGAGATTCTGAGATTCTGAGATTCTGAGATTCTGAGATTCTGAGATTCTGAAATTCTGAGATTCAGAGATTCAGAGATTCTGAGATTCTGAGATTCTAAGATTCTCAGATTCTGAGATTCTGAGATTATGAGATTCTGAGATTCTGAATTTGTAGCTCAAATTCAGAAAAATATTTATTTTCAAAAACTTGAGATCTAAAATCTATAAAAAGTTAAAAAAAATTCAAAAATTCAGAATCCTAAGCAAATGAAAATTCTCCACATTTTTTCAGTGTCCATGGGTAAACCTCTCCCATTTCCTTCTTGAATTTGTCACGGGCTCTGAAAATCCAACAAATGGAACTTTAGTGATATCAGTCAGTTTTTTTTTTTCAAACTGATGACTCTGGTGTGCCTTCGATGCGATTCTACCCAACTTCTTTCTCCTTCAAAGGAAAATACCGTATTCCCTCTAACAGAATTCAAATCGAGCTCAATTATCTCGATTCCTGTGAAAGATATCAAAAACTTGTCAACTGATAAATTTTTTATCATAACATCACCAATATTTGATGAGTTGACAAAATCTTGATATCTGTCATAAGAATTGAGACAATTGAGCTCATAGTTAACGGTTTCGGTGGGCATCTGTTAGAGAAAATACTGTAAGTAAATAATTGTTTGTAATAATTGTTAGTAATTGTAAGTAGTTGTTTCTCAATTATGAAAAATTCCTCACAAAATCATCGCTGCAGCTTCTTGATGAGTGATTGAAGCCTTTGAGTATACTGTATTTGTATGTTTTATCCCATTATGAATACTGAATACGTGGCTGGGTAAGTGGAATGTGTAGCCGTCCCGACACAGCTCGTAGATCTGAAAAATTTGTCATAGGAAACTTGAACCCAATTTATCTTGATTTTCGTGAATAGGGTTGGCTATGGGGCGAAATCAAAATTGCGGACGTGCGGGCCGTGGCGGGCCCTGTCGTAGTTTCTTTTAGGATTGATATTTTTTGACCAACTAAATTAGATATGGTAGAACTCGACGAGCACTACAAAATGATAGTATTTGAGACACTGTATCATATTTGTGAACAAAGTTACAAGCCAGAAAACTGCAAATGCGGGCCGGGCCGGGCCGGGCCGG